CTCGCAATTGTATTATCAGCCGAAATTATAAATCAATAAATTCTACTTTAAATAAAGGAGTCCAGATTTCGAAATACAATCGCAAATATCTCGAGATGAGATGATCCAAAATTAATGAATGATAGCTCATTGGATTCTTCTAGTCGCGACAAATCGAATGGTAGTTGTTTCATACTAATCGGTGCGATATTGACCGAGATCGTACATCTTTTGTTTTATTTTTATTTTTTCTATATATAAAAAATATATGATATGACATAATTTTGACTATTTCGACTTTTCATTTCGACTTTGACCTCCAAAGTCGAAACATTTTGACTTTTTGGGTTTTCATTTCAACTTCATATATAGTATGGCTTCTATTTCGTCCTCATTGTCTGTGCCTAGAAAATGCCTTGGCTAGAGCTCTGAACAGGTCAGATTAGATCAGGACAACTCATAAATCTGATTTGAATAACAGGTCAATCAGATTGACCTGACCTAAATATCAGGTCAAATAAGTTAACCTGACCTGACCTGTGACCTGTAAATAAAACAGGTCAAACAAGTCAAATTGGTCAAAATAGGACAAAATAGGTCAAACAGGTCAAACAGGTTAAAATATGTCAAAACAGGTCAAATAGGTCAAAACAGGTCAAACAGATTAAACATGTCAAATAGGTCAAATATGTTAAACAAATTATACATATTCACTTGAATCATTAATAAGTAATCTTCAAAAAAAAAAAATATAAATATCTATAAGATTTCTCATAAAATTATTATTATACGGCAAAATTATCATATACTAATATGGGGTGAATGCTGGAAAAATTGACCAAATTGATTTTTTTTTTAAAAAAAAGTTTTTAAGTAAAATAAATGTAAATTTGGTCATTTGATTCAGATCATTTGTTATTTCAAAAAAATTTTTTTGTCGATTTGTTCCTTTTTTCCAGCACTTACCTCATATATATTAAAACCCGATATTTATTTATAATTACTAAATAAAAAAAAAATACATAAAAACAAAAAAAAATTCTGAAAAAATTATTTATAATTACATTTTATCCAATTTTTAAGACACATACATGTCTGAATACTTTCTTGACTTAAGCAAGATCTTTTTTTTTGTTATTAAATCTGATCCTCCAGAAAAGATTCTTTCAATAAGAACACTTATTCCTATATAAAATATTAAATAAATAATTTTAAAAATAATATAAAAATATTTTAAAATCATAAGCAATTATTTACTAGGAATAGCTAAGTAATCACGAGCCATAATTGCAAGATGTGGATATGTTGTTTCATATAACTATAATGCATATAATATAATTGATTAAATTAATTAAATTATATTGATATTAAATATTAAAGAATTAAAATTCAATTTATCTTTTACTATTTTAAAGGATCTGTTTTTGGTAAAACTATTGGCTTTTGAAGATAATCTTTTAATTAATCTTCATTATGATAATCATTATTATCGAATCCAAACAAACTTGAAAAATAATCATTTTCAATATATTCAATATTAGTAGAATTATTTCTGGTAAAAGACAAAATAAAAATATTTTGATATTCATTTTTATAAAGTATTTTTAAATATTTTTGTTGCTATATCAATATATTCTTGCTTCCATTTATGTTTTTTATAATAATGTAATTTTAATCTAGGATCAAGAACTAGATTTAATAAAATGAAAAAAAGAATATATAAAATTAGATATTAAGATAATTAAATTTAAAAATAAATTCAAAGAAAAAAATACCTACTAGTTGCAATTAGATATACTTTTGAATCATCTGTTTTTGAATAATATGATTTGAGTTTTTCATAACTATAATTTATAGCTAAACATACTTCTGAAGAATGACAAAATGTGATATCATTTTCATCAAGAAGTTTCTCAAGATGCTCAAGTAAAGAGTTATATATTGGAATTGATGAGCTTAAAGTAATATATTGTGACATTGACATGTATTCTGTAGCAGTATGAAACTTTTAAAAATTATAAATATATTAATTATATTTTATTATTTATTATCATTAAAAACTTTTAATTAAATAAAAAGATTATCTTACATCAAATACATGACATAATTCTTTAACCATATTCCATTCTTTAGGTGAAATTAGATATTCATTTAAATCTCGTTCTAGAAGTATAAAATCATTAAGAGGCTATATAAAAAAAATATATAAATCTTTTTTTTTTAATTTTTAAATTCATAATTATACTATTAAATTTACTTACTTCTCAAAGTTTTAATGCACGTTGCAACATAAAATATGTTGAGTTCCATTGTGTCTTAACATTCAAAATAAGATTTAATTTTATATCCATATATAATTTACATTGACGTCTAAATCTTTCTCTTCTTTGTGGTGATGATTAAATTTTTACAATAATTCTACATAATTTTGATATTATTTTAATATTATTATTATTTCCATAAGATAATTCATTTAAAATAGTATCTTTTTCTTGAGCAACGCCAACTTTGATATGTTTTAATATTTCTTGTGTTGTTATATTCATTATATGTACCAGACAATATACATGATTTTTTTTGTGATCAAAATTGATTTTTTTTTTAATACAAACATATTTAAGTTCTTGAAGGAACGTAATATTATTTTTAGTATTGTCTACTGTAATTGCAAAAATCTATATTAAGTATTTTAATATAAGTATAATTATCATATAATATCAAATAATTAATAAATAAAATTACTAACCTTTGTTAATATATGAAATTCTTGAATGGAATTCAAAAATTCTTTCACCATATTCTCACCTGAATGAGAACCTTTAAGATATATAAAATCGAATAATACTTCTTTAAGATCCTAATTATCATCTATATAATGACATGTTATACCAAGAAAAGCAATAATATTTGATGAAGTCCAACAATCCAAAGTGAAACTAATTTTTCCTGGTGTGTTCTTTTTAAATCAATTTAAAATAAATATTATATTATATTTAATTTAATGTTGATAATTATAAAAGAAATAATTACTAACTTGTAATATACATTGAATATTTGTCAGTTGTTTTTTATACAATTTTAAAATATCACTACGAATCGTATCGGCTGAAGGTACTTTTGCTTCTCTAATACAAGTTTTTATTAATTCCTGAAATTCAGGACAATCTACTACTGTAAATGGTTGATCATCAACCGCAATCCATATTGATAATTTCTCACAAAAAATCTCATTAGTAAATACCTATAAAAAGGTTATATTTATATATAAATAATTTTATTTTTTAATAAACAAATTGTAAACTTACGATAGGAATATTATTCTCAATTTCTAAAAATTGCTTCATAAATGTTGCTTGCTTTATTACAGATGGATTTACTTTATTTGGATGATTTTTATCAAGATGTCTTTTTAAATTTCCTGTCAAGCTATTTGTTCCACTCATTTTATACTTTGTATTACTATTAATTCATAATATTAATATTAGTATAATTATATAATTTAACAATTAATTAAAATTTATTGCATTACCTGCAATATAAACATTTCGCTTATGTTAAATTATCATCATCTACAAACTTTTCAAAGTAATTCCAAACAGAACTTCTTTCTTTACTTTTTGAAATATTCTTTTGTTTCTCTTCTGACTCAGACAATTCCTCTCCTTCAGAATATTCATCATTCAATTCTTCTTCTGAAAATTCTTCGAAAGAATCTTCATTATTATGATTACGCTTTGATTTAGAATTATATAAAAGTTTTTAGAACATTTTGATATTTTGTTTAATTAAGATTATCTGATCTGTTAAACTCATTTTAAATAATTTTTACAGACATGTGTGTTGTACAATAAGATTCAAAAATTAGAAGTTACTCTAATACAATATGAATAAACAATTATGCATAAAGCTAAAAATGAAAGTAAATTATTATACAAAATATTAGAAACAAAAATTGGTTTAGTAAATTAATAAATTAAATTATTAGATTAGCATTTTTCAAAGTTAAATTTGATGAAAAGATTGTTATTTTTTTAGACAAATTTAAGCGATATTAACTTTAACAGTGGTTTCTTGGTTATTTAAATCACTTTTGCTTAGGAGCTGTGCTAAGGTAATCTGTCCAAACAGTTTATCAAATTAGTAATTTAATTAGTAATTAACTATTTGTAATAGTTAGTGAATTTTGCAAATGGCGTTATTCATTTATTAGTTCAATATTAGTTTTAATTTTTTTGTTTAGATTACTTTTTAAGTTTAAAATCATTGCGATATTACAATTTTTTTTAAAATTGTTTTTTTATTTTTGTAATGCAATAGATTCTTTTGTTTAATATCATACTACTTACAAATAACAAAATCTGTCATAGATTAAAGTATCTTGATATACTGTATCTTTTATGCTTAGTGAGTCGAATAATGATCTAAAATGCAAGTTCAAAAAATTGGAAAAGAGACAGATCAACAATTGAAAAGTGAAATAAAGTGATATTTGTCACAAAATAAATAAATAATCTATGAGCAGTTTAATTATGATATAATAGATGATCAATATATTATAAATGTTTTAAAAAAAGGTGGTAGGCATTAAAAGGAGAAAGATCTCACAATTGGAGTACTAACTAAAATTGAAACTGTATTTGTATAATATACTTATTTTTTATAAAAATTTTTAACAATTCAGAATCATATAACTC